GAAGGAGGCAGATGGGCCGAAAGGAACCAGGGTACATGAGGTCTTCTCCTTTCTGATGAATAGCCATACTTCTGCCCAATTGGTTGTCAGCGGAAAATGGCGGAGTCTACAACAGTTATGGATTAGAATGACTAAAAGGTTAGAAGCTATTTGAGAGATCATTTGTATTATTTTATTATCCATGCTGTTGGGCCCGGGGTCTTTTTTGGATTGAGCTTTTGAATGATTCGTTCAATTTCATATTTGCTGGGAAGAGGTTCGGATGACCTATTGGAAGAAACGTAGTTGTTGAAGTTATGTCTTAGGTGTGCTTGCTCTGCTGTGTCATTGCTTAGAGTGTGTTGCTCTTGGAACAGTGTTGGTAGTACAAATCTTAGAGTGCCCTTGGAGTTCGTGCTGATGGCCGGATGCCTGCTGGCAAAATTGTATTCCTAAGGACCCTGTTCACTGCTATTTGGAAGACCTTCCATATGCATCCAGGTTGATGGAGCAGTAGTTGCGCCAAGAGTCCGGTTTAGCTGTTGCTATGGCCCTTTTATATCTGGATTGTGTGTGCTTGCATCGTGCAAAGAAGCTATGACGTGCATCCGGGTCTCTTTCGGCCAGTGCTAGTCTGCGCACGCATCGCAGATTGCTTCTGTCTTTTGATAGACTTTCTTTTCACCATGAGGCACTGGTGCGGGATCTATAATTCTTCATGCGGAACATTTGACTGAAAGCCATGGTGTAACTATCTATCAATTGTTCATAGGCTTTGTCCAAATCTGTTATAGAATTACATATCCTTGGAAGTCAACGATCAGGGCACCGATATATGGGTAAAAACTAATATTGAAGTTTTCGAGTTCTCCATACGCTCTTTTAAAACGTCGCTTCACGAATACACTCTGTGTCATACCAAAACTAAACGCTATGGCATTGTGGTTATTGAGTGCTATGAAGTCCTGCACGGCGCAATCATTTATTTCAGATGATTGTTACTCGAAGCGGGGTTAGAAGCGAGGGTTAGCGAGGGCCATTCCTTGGCTCTAATAATGTCATAAGTTGGTGGTGAGTCCGAGGTACTAAGGATCAATGTGACTCGATAAAGTCAATTACCGGTGCAGATCGGACATCTTCTCTTGGTGCGTCCCAGAGTTCACTAGAGGCGTTAAAATCACCAACCAACAGATAGTAATTAAAGGTACTCAAGTAATCTAGTTCGAAGAGCAGAGTCGAAATCTCGGCTAGGTGGGAAGTAAGCCGAGATAATTAGGAGTCTACCTTCAGTTGTGTCTAGGACTATAGATACCGTACGCTCGGTGCTTTGCCAGGGCATTGGTGTCAGTGAACCATTGTACACAATGGCTGCTAGTCTGTTATTCGACAGGTACGTCTTATTATGCGAAGTAGTGCCTATTAAATGATAACTGGACACGACATAAGGTTTCTGGTAGAGCCCAATATCAGTCCCCAATTCCCACTGTTTGTGAATCATGTGGCTGGTAGCACACCCCAATAACTAAGAGTTTACTACAAGTATATTCCATTTAGAAGTGGCTACTTTAATATAATAAAAATACCACTTTAAAAAATAGCAGAATTTTAGAAAGGGGGAAGAACTGCGCTTCTTGTCACGTTTAAGCTGTTTTGAGAACGAGATAAGGCCAAAGTCACACATATATCCGGTGGGGTGTTATGGTTACTGCTTTTTGCGGGGTGCTTGTTGGAGGTTTTTGGTGTTCTAGGGTGAAATGAGTTAAACTGTCAGGATGAAAAGTAAGATTTTTTCTACTGTTTTCTGTGGGGCGTTGTTTGTCGAAGTTTGTCCCCATTTTGGGTGAGTTTTGGCGCACTTGGTGCCCTTTCGCAACAAAATGCAGGAGCCCGCGTTTTTCGATCTCTTTCTGCACTGCTGTCTTCTTTTGCTTAGATCCGCCTTGGAGTGCTGTAATGTTTAGCACCGAATTTATACGGGTAGCTTTGCCCAATGGCGGGTAGACTGCGTCCGGCAGAAAATTTTCATTACACCTTCAACCTTCTTCTACAGCAGCGTATTTGAAATTCAAATGAAATTTGTTTTTGTAATTCTGCTTTCTCTTTAAATAGCTTTTCTTAGTCGAGAGAACGATTGCCATTATCATCGGGGTCTTGTTTAGCTGGAATAACCCGGACCGGTAAGGACGTCGCGTTAACAGAGATGATGCCTCCTGCATAGCTAGAACTTCTTTTCCATTGTCGAAGTTCGTAGGAACACTACATCTTTCCCAGTCTTAGATTCTTCGGCGGGGACGGCGGCGATGTGTTCGTTTTTGACCTGACTTTCCTGTTGGTGAGACTAGCATTCCTGCTAAGAGTCACAGATAAGACTTTTATTTTGTATTACACTAAGTTTATTTGTATTACACTAGAAAAATGTAAAGTAAATTAATTTCTTCCTAAGAGTAATTCTTAATTCCTTCCTTTTTTTCCTAATTTCGGATTAGTGAGTTAAATGGTTGCGCTTAGAAATTTATTTCATCAGTAGTAATTTAACAATATTAAAGCCGTAGTTTCTTTATTAATTCTTGGTGGATCCCGGTCAGATGCATTAATGAAAGAATTCAAAATTTAACGTATTAGTTAAAGGTTCTTCTTGTTGTTATTCGTGTGAAAAATAGCAGTAATTGTTAAATTGAAAATTGTGTGCAATACGTATTATCTGAAATTTACTCTGATTAATTGAAAATCTAAGTAAGGTAATTATAAATCTGCTAACTTTTCAATGAAAAATGGTATAAGTAAAGAGCGTTTTTAATTGTTTAAAGTGCAATCCTATATAATTTTTATATTAGCGTGTTAAAATATATATCTCTAATTTGTTAAAATACTAAAGAAAGAATTACCTATGGCTTCTGGTTATCACAAATATTATTATGTCCGGTTTATCTGAAAGTATTATGTTATGAATGAAAGAAATAGGTTATGGTTTATATCTTTGAAAATGTATAATAGTAATTTTTATTACTCTCGAGAGTAGGAATAGCATAATCTAAATTGTTTACTTAATATTAAGGAAGAATAACTATTTTAGATCTTTATTTGGATTAAATTTTGTATGTTGTTATTGATATTGCCTTGTCCTTTTATGCATGATTTTCACCAGTTATCTTTTGGATTGTTTTGGTATTTTATGTGGAGATAAAAGTTATACAACGCAAATCTAAATTCATCACATGATAGATACTTGCCAATTTAACTTGTTTTGTGACTTCTCAGTGAAGGCACGTAACATTTGGTGCCGTATCATTTACCACCCAACATAACGATGAGCTACGAATTTATATACTAGTGATATATTTTAAATTTGTACACTCATTTTGAATTATAATTACCTAGATACTGATTTTGCGCATTTATATTTACCAACTGATGCGATGAGCAAATCCTTTCTTTTGTGCTGTATTTATCTGTTCTAGAATAACTCCAATTTTTAGCAACTTTTAGGATTGATGTATTGCCATATATTGCAATAATTGCATATTTTTAATCGTAAATTAAAATTTTAATTTATATTCCTTCTTCTAATAAATATTTCGAAATGAAAACAAATCTCAAGGCATCAAGTGTATTCACAATTATTATTTATTATATTTTTTAATGACACATCGTATTGTAGATTTTTTTTCAGTAACATTCACGCCATTACAAACCTATTTTTCTTACCTTCATACTAATCTTATGTTATTATATATTTCACACAAGAAATATTTAACGTAAAATTTATGACTGATGTCATTCCATAGTTTTCTAAGAACAGATGATAACACACTAATGTAGTAGATATGTTTCTTACTTTTAACACAATACAGAAAAGGATATAACGTTCATCATGTGGTTTTGTAATATTACATCATTTTAAATGGTAATGTGCACCACTTAAGTTTATAGTTTGGAAATATAAGCGAAACTTACTTTCTTAAAATAAAATAGTTATATTAAATACTAGTTTTTGGTTATATTAAATAGTTATATTAAATATATATATATACGAGTTTATATATATTTAATATAACTATTAGACGATTGATAGCCAATAAAATGGAAGTTGCACAGCTACATATTACAGCAGTCCCATATTCAAAATTTCAAAGACAAATCCTTTTTGAGTTATGCGAAATTCATATATGTGTAGGTACATACGTACAGACATCCCGAAAGAGTCCCTTTTGAATCCATTTTAGATCCACTTTACAATTCGTTTTGGAAAAAGATGTCCTTTATTCTGTTTGTAAGTAAAAATGTCTCGCAAAAACTAGTAAAAGTTTATTCGGGATATGTCAAAATGGATATTTCCGTTGAAATATGATACCAGAAATTTTTCATGATCACAATATTTCCTTTACTTTGTAGAAGGAAGTAATATGTGAGCATTTTTTTTCCTTAGATAGAATTTTCCTGCATTTGAGCTGTTTACATTTATTACATACTTTCAGCTTTGGGTAATCAGACAGGTTCCTGACATACACCATTTGCTATTTCCGTGAAGATTGCCCATTTATTTCAGGTACGAATATTCTGAAATTTCACAAATGCCTATTTTGACAAAGTTGCTTTATAAAATTTTTGGCTTGTATAATATTAACAATATTTTGGTTTATATAATAATAATAGCAATTTAAACAAATGCTATTTTATTTACTTTGTTACTCATTTTCAATGTTTACGCATACCAGTCTAAACCGGTCACATTTCCTTTAATTATCTACTTACATAACATTAATTTAAAGAATAAAATAAGTGCTTGTGTCCTTTTTTTTTCTTTCTCCCCTCCCCCCCTTTTTTTTTAATATTTTTTGGTTTTAGGAACTCAAAAACAACAGGATTTCTTTTCACATTCCCTAGCACTAAATCCTTACAAATGCTAGAAGCCTTTACAAAATTCCTTCATGAAAAACGTACACCCATCTATTAATCGCAGATCCATGCTAAAACCGAAAGCATCATTACTTTTTTACGACATGTAAGGCATATTTACTCACCTACAACTGACACGTAGGTCGATCCAGATGCGGTCTGTCCATCAGGATTCTTTATGGAGCAACTATATTCTCCTCTGTCAGCAGATCGTTGAACCCCTTGTATGGTTAACGTTCCACCATGATTTATTTTCTGACGGTGGTTTAGTGGCAGTAATACTCCATCTGTAAATGAAGAAAGGATGTGCAAATTAATTCAACTTTGTAGGCTTTCGAAAATATTTTTTTATTCAGTTTCATTCTTGCCTTTTTTCAACGTTACCTCCCGGCTTTTGCTTTGATATGTAAGAAAGAATGTTAAACAAAATTATTAAAATCATACAAAGGTGCCATCAATTATAATTCTTAAACGCGAAAATCAGAAGAATTTTAAATTAGTTTTCTGCTAATTAGGCATATTAATAAAAACGTTTAATGAAACAATTTGTTGTAGCATGATACCAAATTTTCCTCTTTTTTCCTCCATAAACATTAACGACACTTGTAATTGAATTAATGATTTAAATTTTATTTTTCATCAGTTTCAGATCTTAGAAAGAAAATTAATTATATCTACGTAGGATTACATTATTTTCGAAGAGTATGCTTTTCCAGATTTAATTTATGAAATTAAAGTGATCTCCTTTTTCTTTTTTTTAATCTTAGAAGAATTATCAAGAAAAAGAAAAAAATGTTTTATGAGCTTAAATCTTCAATTAATCATTAAAATGCATACAAAAAATAATCACTTTGCTATTTGAGGTGATTCCGATTTTGCTAATCATTATTAAATCCTAAAGGCGATCCTCTAGGTATTTTTGAATACATATCTATAAGACTGATGTCATTTATATATAAATATTAAAAATAATTTAACACCAAGCTTTAAAAGAAAATCTTGTTCTCTCCTTGTTCCATAAAAATGCTTCAAAGTTTGGTATTAAAAACAAACCAAAATTCGTATTTATGATATGGTTCTAGTATACTTTTATCCCCCTTTTCCGTTTCAAATTATTTATATTGGAAAATTCAAACGCATTTCATATATGTAGGGACAATAATTCGGGAAAGATTTTGATACTTACAGTGAGATATTGAAATTGATAGAAGTTACAAAGTTGTATTATGGTAACAGGGACGGTTTGAAGTAATCATTTTAAAACAGTTTCATGTGAAAGTAAATGACGTTTACTGTAACTGATTAAAATGGAAAGTTAAAATGCACTGAAAATATCTTAAATTATTCTTTACAAACTCAAAAACTGTTCTTCAATTGAGTGCAATTTTCAGAAAATATTTGAGCTGAATGTTTCTGCTGCAAATTTGGATTTTTTACGAAGTTCAATGCTAATCCTTTGGCTTTCGATAATTTAATATGTAAGAAAAAGCAAATTATATTTTAATAGTTTATATGTGCGAACTTCTTGAAGAGTTGGTATTTCTCTATTTTCTGAAATTGATTTTGTTTCTAAGAAACTAAGTTTTCAAGTGGCGGTATTTTAATCACCTGAATACAGTCTCTTACTTCTAATAAGTATTTCTTACTTCACTGGATTTGAGTCGATTATCTAAAATATTCCGCCCTTCGCCCTTAAGGCTTCACACATAAAACACTTTGAATTTAAAAATGTGTGAACTTTTATATTCATAAATTCGGAGTTAAATTTTACATGTAAAGTTTAATCAGCATGTTATTAATCATATTTAGCCCCACAAAATATGATTAAATCTCATTTTATATAAAATTAAACTTTCAACACGCGAAAAAACAAAGCATGAAAATAGTGTTTTGATAAACTTGAGAGCAAGAAAAGGTATGACCAGTTTTGCAAAAGTTCATTCTTTTAAGAATTAATTTATGGAACAAAAATGAATTATGAATTGGCGTGTTTTTTTTTTTTTTTTTTCCTTTTAGTTGCTGGCTTATTATTTGATAAGATTATATTAAATCACTAAATATATCTATATTAGTTTATTAGTTTTAAGCTTAATACCATGAATCATTTCTGGCGCAATTTTTGATAATTACAATCACATTATGGGAATTAATGTGAAAAGATTACATATTGATAAAGCTATATATAGAGAAATTAATTGAATGCATTTTTATCTTACTTGATGTAGAGTTTTATTATAACATCAATAATAAAAATTATATTATTACATAAATTCTTATACTATGAAATAATTATTATGTTATTAAATAATTTTTAGATTATTAAATAAATTACTATAGCATTAAATAAATTATTACATAAGGAAATAGATTATCATATTAATAATTAAATTATTGTGTTATTAAATATAATTAATAAAAATGAATTTATATTTAAAGTCATAGAAGTCAAGTTTAAAAACTTCAAAATAATTTTCATTCATTTTAATTATTGCTCTCTCCTTGTTCCATAAAAATGCTTCAAAGTTTGGTATTAAAAACATACCGTAATTCGTATTTATGATATGGTTCTAGGATTTTAGTTTATGTATTTTATGCTTTCATGTATAACTTGTAATGGCATTCTTAAACATATTAGGCAGGAGAAATTGCTTTATTTTCTTGTGCACATTTTTTAAGACTTAGAGATCACTTAGCACCCGCAGCTTACAGAATTGCATATTTTGGCACCATATTTCATATAATTCGTTTAGGCATGTAATGAGGAACAGCATCAAAGAGTCAGGTGCCTGCATTGAGAAGACATGCGCCATAAATCATATTCCCCCGAATTAAAACTTTTTAACAATTTTGCGCGTTGCCCTTAATGCGAAAATGAAAAAATTTCCCCTCAGCTTTTGAACGAAAATACCTCGTATTTTAATGCATTAGACAAACTCTGAGTCGGGGGATATTATTTACTCAAGTTTAGACATCAAAGATGCAAAATGCTGTTTTTGGATGGCTTTGGGGGATCGCAAAGGAAATGAAAGCAAAGCAATTTCTTTGGTTCACTTAAAAATATATACAGCACTATCCGTGATTAATAAGTTGTCAGGAGAGGGAGCTGTAGACGAGATATTAAAGTTGTTTTTCCTTACATATTAAAGAGTTTTACCTTTTGGGCATAATTTCTCAAGGAACTGTAAAACATTACAACAACGTTTTTTCGGTAAACTTAATGTAGAGTTATGTGCAAAAGCTTCATCTAGGCATTATTGTGAATAACATGATAAAAAATGGTACGCAAACTTGGCAAAGTTAAGCAATATAACATGCCTTTCTAAGATAATTGAAAAAATTAATCATAATAAAGGGACACGTAAAACCAACAATAATATTTACTGAAATATTTTACTAATTTAATTATGAAGATGCTTGAAATACACGTATTTTATTAGCGACATAGTGGCGCTTTCTAAATTAAATTATTAGGTACTTCAGGTAATTGAATTCAATTCTGAATTATTTAGAAGTTTATTTAAAATATATTTTGGAGCTGTCAAATATTATTAGATACAATTACAAGAATTTCAGAAATCACAGTACAGTTGTTAGGGTTTTGGAGAGAGAAACAAGAAAAATCAGTTACATTCTCCCTGACAGTCAAATAAAGGATCATACAAGTGTCAGCTTGTTCTGCTAACCAAAAGAAAATGCTCTGAGGAAATTTTTTTATAAGATTGCAAAAAATCACACAGCCAAAAAATCTGCAGTTATAATTAATTGACCAATACGATAATAATCTATTTTTATTAAAAAAAAAACTGTAAAACTGTAGATTACCTAATTCATTGTCGGTTTGCTAAAAATGGTTAGCACTCCGGATCCAGCGATCCGAGTTTAAATCTGGGTGGAACCTAATTAGCAGGCAGACGGTAGAGTGGTTAGGGGAGCCGACTGCGATACCAAAGGGCCCGTGTTCAAATTCCGGAGAAGGCATGGTCATAACTGTCCGTCCCTTCATAAGAAGCAAAAGTGGCTTTCCCATTAGGTGCCACCTTAATAAAGTGACCACCACATCTAGCCTTAGTAGTGGCCAAGCCGAAATCGTCTGTCGGCCTACAATTGAGGGTGGGGATATTTGACTATAAAAGTTCGATCGTACTTGAAACTCCTACTAAGAGAACTGAATTAAACTACAAAAAGTAAATTTTAAAAAAAGTTTTGATAGTTTAAAGAGATTTTCGAAATATTGCAATTTAGGCAGCCAGCGATTTTAATTTACATTTATTTAAGAAAACATTAAACCTTTACACTATAGCAAAAATTTTGTTAAATTTTTTAAAACTTCATTGCAAATATTTCAAAGCATTTCTAAATATGGAGATCTAAAATTAACCGAGAATTATTATTGCGTTTTCTTTAAAGATCCATACCAATCACAAAAAGATTAGTAAAAACAAAGGTGTTATACGATCTTTTTATAATAAGCAAACAAGTATATTGTAAACTTCAGTGTGTGTTGTAATTAATTACATGATATATACTTTAAAGCAGGGTTTCTTAAACATTTTTCAGTCGCGACTCCTTTTCATCACTGAGATTTTTCCGCGACCCCCATGACCCCATAGCATTTACAAAAATTTTGTGGGACCCCCATATGTATTGCGCAAATCCGACACACGCATGAGTGAAACTGTCAATATTTGTTCTTGTACTGTAATATACTATTGCAGTTTTAGGTCATTAACTTTAATTTCTAATTTTAAGACATAGAACAATGTAAATGTTTTAAATACGTAAGAGAGGAAATGACAACATCGCGTGCAAAGCAAAGAAAATGAAGGTTTATATTATGAAAAGAACGCGTCGAAACGTTTTCGTTTCGACAGTTTAAGAAACCGTGCTCTAAAGAATCACAAGTAAGTTAGTCATAAAATTATTTACTTGCAAGCCTTTAAAAAACGTTCGAATATTATTAAAGTCCATAATTAAAAATTAAAAGATATTTTTGCAACAAATGTTTTTAAATAAGTTGTCATTGTAAAACACGAATTAGATTAAAGAAATGTTAATCTTAAAGAGGATGAAATCATAAGTAAGCCCTTATAGTGGTTATTAGAAGAGTCAGAATTCGTTAATTAACCCGTAATAAAATATAACTCTGAATTTTCTTAACATATCTTATTAACGTATGTAGTGTACACGTGTTTTAAAAGTACGACGTAAGCATTTTGGATAGGACAGCATAAGCGGTGGCGCAGAGTTGGTTGCATGGTAGGAAGCGAGGAAAAGGAATGACGTTGTTGTTTTGCAAGCAGTATTTATACCTGGTAGATGCAGAAAGTACTAGAAGCTGTGATTAGTTTTTTTCAGTTTTAGTTAGATTTTTCAAGCAGCTTTATGTAACATGGAAAGTTCTCGAATTAGGGATAATAGATGAATTGAGGGGGAGAACATAAAACCTGGAATAGTTATTTTGTAGTCGCCAATCATTTCTTAAAGCAGCCATCGTTATTTGTCATATCTTACATATCCCTTCTTCAAAAGAAAGGTTGAGAGAGCTAATAAAAAGCATTAGCGAAGCAAGAGAAAGTTTATCATATGAGGAAAGACACGAGGACATAGCCCGCAGGTTTTCCTATGCCATGTCATTGTTCATGACCTTTCTCATACACAGATTATGAAATACTTAAACAACTAATTTAGAAATAAATAAACTAAATAACAAATTAACTAAATAATAAATTAATTAACTCTCTAAACAATAAATTAACACAAAATATAATTTGTGAAGTCTTTCAAGTCCTTTGAAAAACTGTCCAACATAAAAGCTGTAAAGTCTCTTGACGAAAATAGTTCCGCAAGGTAAATGTACAAATGTTTTCACAAAGTAAATATTTAATAAAAGTCTTTCAGATTTTTGTTGATGAAAATATTTCCATTGTAATACAGATTGAGCTGCCAACTTTCATATGGACAAACTCAATTCATGATTGCTTGAATAAGTTCTTATTATGAAAACATATATTTAATACAATAAAAAGTTCAATATAAAAACATAATAATATAATACAATACTGAATAACACAATAATACTTTGACGATTGCTTGGCATGTCTTCTCCACTAGAATCGGCGTATCAGCCTGCTGATGGTTGGAAGACGCTTAATACAATATATCAAGAAACTTCCGTTGTTCAAAAAAAAGTAACTGGTTTTGGCATTGCATTGTTCTCAAAGTTCCCCCCCCCAAAATCTTTCATATTAATTAATAAAATACAGCATTATACAAAATTCAAACTGAAATTTAAGACAAATAACTCGTATAATTTAAATTTTTTTTTCTTTTAAAAAAGTCTTTTTATTTTTTCAAAAATATGATTGAATATTATTCTACAATAAGAACAAAGAAATTAAACATTTTGTTTTAAAATTATGCAAAATGTACGTGTGTGTGTGTGGTTGCAGTTGTGTTCTAAACTATGGTCAGAGGATCGTGACTGGTAAAGAAAATATTAAAAAATAAAAGCATAATCATAGCTGAATCTCCTAACAAACAAAGCAATAAAATTTTAGGGGGTGTTAGGACAGCGGGCGTGTGCTATCACCTATTGCATCCTCCCTAAAGAGAGGATGCAAGAAGTAATACACATAATTTCAAAACTCATGTCGGAAAAAAGAATAAAAATATATCGTCTTTGAATGAGAATCTGGTATTAAATCCAGATTTTCAAAATGTGGGGTTAAGATTTTTTCCTCTCCTCATCTCCTGGGCTATGGGGGACATTTACAACAGATTTTGAAAGAAAAAACTCTGGGAAGAAGGAAAGGCAGGATAGGAAAGGAGCCAGACGGGGAAAAATCAAAATCATGAAAAATAAATCGTCCTAATTAGACTTTAAAGTATTGATCAGGTTTTAAAATGTCATAATCGAGAAAGTAAAATTTTAATGCAGAATTTAGAAATTTAAAATAAATTAGTTTTGCACAGAAAAAGTTGATTCTACTATTTATAACAGTTAATTTAAATTTCGAGCTGGATTAAAAGGTCTGAGTCTGGTTGAATGAACAATTTCTGATTACGTTTTAGTTAGAGAATTAGTGACTTCACTAAATCACCTATTTTAAAGTTACTAAGTTTATAAATGGGTATCATATCTTTCTTTATTTACACCATGATAATCGTTTGAACTTTTTTTTCGCAATTGTTCTAGATTCTTCAATTGGTTGATATACTTCTTGATTTTTCAAGCAGAGAATCATAAGGTAATATTCCTTACATTAAATACTATGGTGGGAACTTTGTTATGAGGTGTATGATTATATTCTTCAGTAACCTGAGGTAATAATTTTGTCCATGCTATATGACCCTGATAAGAATTTAATTTATATTTAACTTAGTTATATAATTGTTTGGTTAACTCGTTTAACTTTACCATTAGTTTAGGACCTATTAGCAGTAGTTAATAATTGTTTTACATTAAGCTTTCTCAAAAAGTGCTTACATTTTGAAGAGGTAAAAGGAGCATTTCTATCACTTAAAATTTCTTTGGTACTTGAATTTGAAAAATCTGTCTTAAAAAATTTATATAAGTATTAGTAATTACATTTTTAGAAGCAAAAGTCAAAATGCAACGAGTAGCATGATCAATAATAATGTGAATATATTTATTAGTAGAATTACAGTAATTTAAAAAAACAACATGATCAATAGACAATACATCAAAAGGTTCACTAAAATTTCACTAAAGGTAAAGCTTACATTAACCCAAATATTTCTTGTTTATTCTTTTCGTTACTTTGACGTACTTTATAATATTTGCAATAACTTCTAACATCTTGGACAATTCCTGGCCAATAATATTGAGGAAATAAAAAATTTAGCATTGAAGACACGCCAATATGACCAAATTGTTGATGTGCTTTTTCAAGTAACTTAGTACGAAGAGACATTGGAATTACAATTTTATACAGTCCTTGTTTTTTAATCGTTAACACATCATTCACTTTCTGATATTTAGGATTGCAAACATTATCTATATTTTGATATTCTTTTATTTCTTCTAATGATAATAAATTAACTTGCAATCTTAAATGCTGACAAATAGGATTTCTAGTTAACATATCAGCTTCAACATTAGTAGAACCTTTTTCATATTTATTATCAAAGTCATGCATAGATAATTTCAAAGACCATCTAAATAACCTACCTGTAGGATGTTTAATATTCTTAAGCCAAACTAATACAGCATGATCAGTATGAACAGTAAAATGATTACTATGTAAATAATAATAAAATTTATCTATGGCATCAATAATGGCTAAACACTCTAATTCAGTAATGACTTAGTTTTTCTCATAAGACCTTAATTTTCTAGCATGAAAAGCAATTGGATGTAGGTTGCCATCTGGGTGTTCTTGTTTTAAAACTGCACTGACAGCTTCTTTAGATGCATCCACAAATACGTGGCAAGAATATTTTTGGATTAAAATAATGGGTCTTGAAATCAATGCAATTTTCAAATTTTGAAAAGCTATTTGACATTCATTATTCTACTAATAGTGAATATCATTTTTCAAGTAGATTTGTTAAAGGAGCTCTAATTTTTGCATAATTTTGAATAAATTTATGGTACACGTTTAAAAACTCGTTTTAGTTCTTCAACATTTTTAGAAGGCTGTAATTTTATAATAACTTTAATATTTGCACTACTGGAATGGTATTTTGCTGTTTGAACTACGAAGCCTAGAAAATTTATTTTTTCTTTAGCAAAATTACATTTAGATTGATTTAGTTTTATATTATCTTTCTCACATATGCCAAACGTTATATTAAAATGTTTTAAGATGTTCATCAAAATTTGGGGAAATTACTAATGTCATCAAAATAATTTAAGGCAAATTGAATCTGATATTTGTTTAAAATTTATCTAAGAGCTCTTTGGAAAACAGCTGAGGAATTTTTCCAACCAAAAGGTAAGCTATTGAATTCATAAAGACCAAAATCTGTAGTAAATGCAAATTTTTCAGCTATCATTTTCATTTAATTTTATATGCCAATAACCAGATGCTAGGTTTAACGTAGAAAATATTTTTTCATTCCTTAATTGATCTAAGATAGCATCAATTCTAGGAATAGGTTCAGAATCTGTTTTAGTAATTTGATTAAGTTTCCAATAGTCAATACACAATCTAGTTTTTGCCTGTTCATCTCTCTTATAAACTAAAGTTACAGGTGCAGCAAAAGGACTGAAGGACAGTTTTATTATACCCTCATTTAATAATTCATCTATTCATGTCTTAATTTCACTGTTATCTTTAGGGTCAAACTAACGAGATAGCCATTTGCTCAATGTTAAATAGACTTGCCCCGTATTCTTATTTTCAGGCGAGCTTCGTTTCTCTACATTATTCATATGACATTACACAGTGGAAAAATACGGCAGTTTCACCTAAAATTTGGTTAAAAGTTTCAGTACATGCACAAAATTAAGACGTTATTTCTCTCTGATCTCTTCACATCGAAGCAGTATCAAAAATGCAAATGTTCTCAGATAGGCACGATTAGAGTGCCACGTGAAGTGCGTCCTGAAATGCCAACTGAAATAAAAATTAAATCTGCCAAATTTTCTAGTCATTAGGGATTTAATATTTTAGTATTCTACGGAATCAGAATTCTTCTTCTTCAATATGGATCTGCGTTCTAAGCTATCAACATTACGGGGCTCTTTTTCATCACATTTATACATATATATTTGTATGCGCGAGTGTTTGTGTTAAATTATATAGAAAATTTAAAATCAATGCATATCAAACTTGGAATAGATTTTCCATTTTACAAAAGCAATAAACCACTGTGAGTAATTACGAAAAGGCGAGAATATATATATATATATATATATATATATATATATATATATACAACAAACAGATACAATGTAAGAAACAGTTCAGATTCTAATCCAGTTGTGCGCTTAAAACAGCAACAAGTAGAGGCAGCAGTGGAAAATAAATTAAAACAAATAATACGTTTGAAATTCGTCTATTATTTAATTCGAATAATCATATGCAAAAACTATAAAACCAAAGTATATGAGGTAACAGGGTCAAATCTGAGAAAAGTGCAATGTTTCAGCATACGTTTTTTAAATAAGGAAATAAAAATTGCAGTTATATCACAAAACTATTAGTAAGGTGTTATGTTAATCAATTAGATAATCTTATTTATTTGCATTTATTTTGACTTCTACCTTTGACAATTTAAGCCAAAAAACCAGTTAGAATGTACATAAGCCCAGAGCTCTTGATTCTCTGATAATGACTACCTTTCCTTGCTAGTGAAATTAAGTAGTCGGCTCTAGCTTCGGCAAGCCGCGCTTGCTGCGCAAATATTTAAGCGCTCCAAGAAAAGCTTTATTTAGGCACATGCTTATTTCGTTTTCACATTTAATTTGACATGAATATTTTTTCTGTGGTTTTACTGCAGATACTGTTTTTGCTACATTTCTGATTTCGTATAAAATGAAATTGAGAGGCGTCATAAACAAGTTTATTTTAAACCTTGGTGTTTGTGATATCTGTGGTTGAAAGGCAAAGGGATGATAAGTAGTATGACTGCCTTGTTCGTTCTAGATGTTAACACTTTAAATTATAGCAAGAATCTTACGCATTTTTCAAAATCTTTCTCTGCATAAATATATTCTTTTGACTGCTGCATGCAGAATTTTTCTAACAAACGTAAGGCAGAAAACTGGGAAGTTTATTTGGTGTAAACTACATCACCACAAGCGTTTAAATTACTCTTAAAGCTGCTATGCATGACAGAGTTACGAAGCTAAGGCTCAGCGGATTATTTACCTTTCAGTAAGGTTATGATCAATATACAGCAAGAAATGGCAAGAAAGGTGTAGCATACTAAGTGTAGAAGTCACTACATTTACATTTCACATAAACTTCAGGTTTGAAACGCATAAAGTGTGTACGGAAAAAGTCGACTGTAAATTTAAGAAAACATGACATCTGGAGCAAAAAGAAAGCTCAGAATTGCAAAAACGGACGTTTGGAGTAAAATTACTTAAGAAAGAAAAAAAAAATCAAGGGAAAAAAGCACTTTTGGAATCATGCCAGAAAGGCTTAGCGAAGTCATCAACCAAAAGAAAGTCCATTAAAGACAAGAACTTTTGATTCCTGTGATACCATTTTAGAGACTGTCTAAATAGTTATTAAGAAACTTTTCTGACCAATAGTTGACCAGTTTTAATATTACGTTTCTTAACAACGTAAAACTTCATTATTACAATTATTTTACTCTTAACAGCATAATAACGCGTTATACATTTTACCTCTGCATATACATAAGCCCAGAGCTAATTTCTGCTGTTGTTCTTGATAATATGTTTTTAAAACTGAAAGATGCTTTTTTCTGTCTAGAAACACCAATATGAAAATTATTTATTATTTCCGCAGATAGTGTTTGTATTTTGCTTAGAAAATAAAATTTTATTTCATTATAGTTTATATCCTGAAGTATAATCTTCTAAACTCATCTATTGACTAATGCATTGACAAAATGTTTCGATTTTCAGATTAGTTCTTTTTTTACAGAAACATATGTTTATAGCCTTATAGCCTAACCCGGAACTTTATATTTGCTATTAATTTTTATAGCGCTATACCATTTTTGTTGTATGATCATTTATTGAAATAAGAAACATCAATTAATTCTTTCTAGATGCTGCTTTTCTCACAGATGTTTTTGTCTTTTTTAAAAATAAGGCTTTATACATATGCCGTTGCTCTAAATGCACAGTTTCCAAATTTATTCAGAGAATATACATGTTATGCAATACTTTTATTTATTCATGTATTTAACTTACTGTGGCTGAAGCGAAAAGCAATTTAAGGCATTTCAAATAAAGGTATTAAATTTTTATTGGCTTTTTGCAAAAACTATTTGTGTGAACAAGGATTTTCTTCCGTGTTGTATTTGAAAAATAAATACAAAACGAAATTAAAAGAGGATCCTAATTTACGGTTAAAACGAATTGAAATAAGACCAGACATAAAGAAACATATATCTCTTAAAACAAAGACCCAAATTTCACACTTAAATTCCTTCACTTTTCATAAGTATTATAACTTATATTTTGATTATTAAAATGGTAACCAATTTTTAATCGAATTCTCTTTATGTGTGCATATTTAATACGAATAATCAACAGATTGTGCAAATGGTAAAATATACTTCTTTTAATACTTGAGAAATTGAAAAATAATCATTGTAAAATGTAGTGGGAGTACGAAAGTTTTCAATTTTTGTTTAGATGGTATAAGTTAGTTGGAAAACCGCTGCTCTAGGGCTATCCGCCTA